AAAAATAAGTCAATACTCTTCCAAAAATTTGAAACAGAAGAATAGACCTTTTTAGTAGAGACGTCACATACGCCAAATAATAGGCAACCCCATAGTGTACATTGTCATAAAGAATTTCTCAATATTTTTACTAGATCGATTCTCGACCTTATGTACTTTGGACATAAGTGCCAAAAAACTGGCTTCTTTGTCAGGACCCTAAATATTGCGATATTCTGGCAATATTAGAAATATTTAAGAATTTTCAGACCCCAAATGACAAACTAATAGAATTATAGAATTTACCTACGACCACTACTGTAAGTACTTAAAAACACACTGTCCGCGATCAATGTAAGATTCCTATTACGTACGGTAAAAAAACGCACAGTTTTCCTAGCAACTGCCTAGCAACGGCAATACTGTTTGTATTGACCGTTGCTAGGCTGTTACTAGGAAAACTGTACGATTTTTTTACCAAGCTGTGTGATTTTTTTACCGTACGACGTAATAGGAATCTTGCATTGATCGCAGACGGTATGTTTTTAAGTATTTAAAGTAGTGGTCGTAGGTAAAGTATAGTACGTAATACGTGGTGTAATGCAATTACGCACTCATAGAATTACGCACTCGCCGCTACGCGGCGTCGTGCGTAACTTTTCCATTCATGCGTAAAATGCTTTTTACAACACTTATTACGTAATATACTATTATATGATTAAATTTATAGATGTTGACTTTTATAGTAATTAATAAAGTAAAATTAAATCAATGTTACTGAGCATGCGCATTAAAGATAATTTCATGTAAGTGAAGTAGCCTCACAACAGGATATTATTCACGGAAAGTTTGGTTATGGTTAAGAGTACGTCTATAATAAATCCCTTGAAGAAAAAAACACTCGATAAACACAGTACAACACCAAGAAAAGCAATAACAATACTTAGTACAACTAGAAAATGTCAAGATTAAACAAAACAAGAGAATATACGCTAATGATGACAGTGATAACATATCAACAAGAGCTCTCCTGCGTATGAAGTTATTCTTTCCGAACATGAGCATTAGAAAATACATGGCTAATGTTAAATTTTTACTTTATTTAAATTTAGGAATATTCCTTTATACAGGGTGGTCGCGATGTAATGGGCCAAAATTCATGACTAGATTCCTGACGTGAAAATACTGCGATTTTGACAAACTCACCTTAGTCCAAAAGTTGATACAGAGATACAGGGTGTTTAATGCAAAATATTATTTTAATTTTTTCTTGTTTATTTCATAATAAATGCTCATATCGAGAAGAAATTTTGGTGTTAGGAGTTTTCTGGGGCGAGAGATTGAAATATATCCATGGTTTGCTTGTAGCTCATAGAGAGCGCCACCACCGCTAGGTCAAATGCGTTGAAAACGACAGAACTTTTTTATCTTTCAAAAATCTAATTCTCAGGTAGCAAATTCTGATTTTACACCTTCTTTTACACAAAAAAGCTATACTTTGCAAACCATGGATATATTTCAATCTCTCGCCCCAAAAAACCCCTAAAACCAAAATTTCATCTCGATATGAGCATTTATTATGAAATAAATAAGAAAAAACTAAAATAATATTTTGCATTAAACACCCTGTATCTCTGTAAGTATCAACTTTTGGACTAAGGTGAGTTTGTCTAAATCGCAATATTTTCACGTCAGGAATCTAGTCATGAATTTTGGCCCATTACATCGCGACCACCCTGTATAGTTTTTTGTAAATTTTAAGCCGCAGCCTGTGCCTGTCTCTGTCAATACCACATACAGAAGTATGTGATCAATCAGGTCAATACTAAATTTTTATATGCTAAAGATGGTGTTAGAAGCAGGTTGCGTTCCTCAAACGCTTCAATCATTCTGGATCTCTCTGTAGTATCTATGTAAATAGTACACAAGCGTCAGATTCGGTCTGCACAATTTCAACTGTGACAATTTGTTGTGGGTTGCCTAAATATGTGACGTCACATTAAAAGAGTCTATTAACGGAAATATGTAATGTGTGCAATTCATAAACTATAGTATGCAACCCTTTATACATGCCGTACTGTCTAGAGACAGCCAATCCACTTGAATTCAAGGCTCTCGAATATATTATTTTGTCTACCAGTAGAAAAAAAATAAATAAGCTAATAATTTAGTTTGGTCCGGCTAGCTATTTTCTTCTATATAAAAAGTACAGAAACAAAACGTAAATATGATTTCACTAAAGTTCTCTAATCCATGTCACATAAGAAAATTGAATTGACTATCTCTCAACATTAATTTGCGCCTAAGTAGAATCCTATTAGACAAATTAATATACAGGATGTTTGAAAAAATAATGTCATCACTTGTAAGGAGAATTCTTATCCAGAAATAAAACAAAGTTTTTATCGACATGGGTCTGCTTTTGATTTCCAGGATAAAGTGAGTTTATTAATATTTTTATTTTTTCAATAGGTTTCTGAAACAACTTTAACAATTTGATTAGAAATTGGATTGTGAAAATTGTAATAATACTATTAAAAAAACGCCATTATTTTTTCCATTTTGAAAGTAAAGTTATATAATGAATTAAGTAGCTGTAAAATCTATCGTGATTTTTTAAATGTCTTCAAAGTTAACCCCATTTAAGAGATAAATACAACAACGGATTTTTCTAACAGCGATACAGAGTTCGACGAAATCCTTTATTTGTGTCTAAGCGAGATATTTGTGCCTAAAGTTGAATGTTTGCAATGCAAGGGATGAAACTCCCACCCACCCATTTCACCATCCTCTATGATTGCACTCAGGCAGACATAATTTAGAGAATAAAAGAAGTTCTCAATTTATTTAGAAAAAAGTAATAATACCAAATATGCCAAACATAATAATATTGAATGTAACATATAAACGAATTCAAAATTCAAAGACGAAGTGACGGCTATTGAAAATTAAAGTGGTCATATTTTTATAATGAATGTGGGACTTGTACTGTTTATCAGGGAAGGATATCTAGGCCAACCTTTTTAAACATAATTTGCATTGAAAAAAATTTAAGCAGAGATGGGAGAATGCAAAAGAATCGCAAATATAATGAATATATTTTTTTCGCCATATTTTAATTTTTCTTAAAGTTACAGCAACATGAAGTTTTAAAAATAAAATATTAGTACAAAATTGAAATAGGTATAGTTCTGAAGGAAATTTTATTTCGTGAATAATGGAAAAAATACCTGAATATATCTATAAGTTAATTATTATTACTATTTAATAAATTATTTTGCACATACCTTTATACAATCAGTGGTGACTATTGGAAATTAAAATGGTAATATTTTGATATGTGAGACCCATACCTTTTTTTAGGGGATATATTCTATATTCACCAAGAGAACTTTAGAAAATTTAGAACGGAATTAAAAAATTAAAATAGGGGTTGCCAACCATGAGGCTTCAAAAAGGGTTGTAGATATTTGGACAAAATATTGTTTTATTAAACTCTTTACTGTTTGTTAAATGACGTTTGATAAAATTATAGACATTTTTTGTGCTAAAATATATAGTACATTTCATAAAACAAATCTAACTCATATTATTAAAATTTGTTTCAGCGATATTTTGCATCTATATTATTGGATAAAGAATTTACCCCGACTGATTTTATTTTTTAAGGTGGCCATGTTCCTGGCCGAGAAATAGTGAAATTTCTGGCGTTTTTAGGTACTGAAATCTTTAAAAGTAAAACGTGTAGAACAAAAGTAAGCACAAAAATAAAATCCTTGATGTTTTGTTTATTCATTGTTACCATTTAAATTTACTCAAATAAAATAATAACTAAAAAAAAGCGTTTGTAAAACATGCGTTTGCTGTTATTCTAACCCCACATTTTAAGAATTATTGTTTACTTTTATTAAA